TAAAAAGAAATATTGCTGCCCAAATATACAATTCGTAAATTAGACGACACGGCAGCCAACTAGTATAGTAACCCTACAATATATATTTATATCTACATTTAAAATGTCACACGCATGCGCACTTACACACACATGTATATATATATATATATATATATATATGTGTGTGTGTGTGTGTGTGTGTGTGTGTGTGTGTGTGTGTGTGTGTGTGTGTGTGTGTGTGTGTGTGTGTGTGTGTGTATATTAGGGAATTGAACTGTATCTCCTCAGGTCAATGAACTTGTCTGATTTTTCCGCTAACCTGATGAATATTCATGAGCATTTGAAAATCCCATAACATTATTGTTCCTGTATATAAATAATTGTCTTAAAATAAAATCTTAACATTTGCCTTGAGAAGGACGAAACGCGCTGGCTAACATGAGTTTTCCTTTTGTCTTTATTCATGGTGTTCTTTTACACTAATATATTATCTGAAAGTTTTACTCACACACAAACGCACGCACGCACGCACACACACACACACACATACACACACACACACACATATATATATATATTGTTATAGTGGAACGCACCTATTCTATAGTTAATAGACGCTCTCACCTATAATAAGGAGGAGTAGTAAGAGTAACAAGGCAGTCGCTCAGTGAGGCTATCAGTCAGTCGATGTCGGACCACTGTTAGACGAATACTAAAGTATCAGCAACCACAACTAGATTACTCTGCGTAATACCTATTATATCAAGTTCCTAACGTTTGGTACGTCGAACCTATTTTAAGACCGACTTAGTACAAATAAAAGCCTCCGCTGTGAAATCACTCCACAACATATATAAAAGTGAATATAGCAGTCAACACTTAGAGGCGACAGTCTGTTTCATACTAGATGCAATCGTCAGGCCTAACGATTGCATCTAACATGAAACAGGTTGCCCTGCAAGTGTTGACTTCCTATATTGAGCACTTTATCCCATAAATATAGCTCATCTTAAGGTATATTTCTTCATATATATATATATATATATATATATATATATATATATATTTAAGTTATGAAGAACTTAGCAAACCGAATTGGTAAATCCAAGGAGGATGAAACCTGAGAGCTCAATGTGAAGAACAGAGCTAATATTTAATGAAAAACAGACACTTTAAGGTACCATTACAATAATTTATTTCACCAAAATCCTTTTTAAAGGATTTCGGATCATCAGGTAACACTTCCAAGAATGAAATCCTTTAAAAAGGATTTTGGTGAAATAAATTATTGTAATGGTACCTAAAGTGTCTGTTTTTCATTAAATATATATATATATATATATATATATATATATATATATATATATATAATGATAAAAATGTATATAAAGGATGATTGAAAAGTAACTCCCTATCTTATGTATGAGTAGCCACCCATGCGTTCTGACAACATAATGCTATTTTGGGGGGGTTCGTTAAAGAAGCAAGTCTACTATATCAAACCAAGACTTTAGACAAAACTTAAAGGTCGAATACAAAACGTTATGTCTTCCATACGAAAAGATTTCGTGGTGAAATCACTTGATGCGATTTCTAGGCTCCTTGAGAAGCTGGTAGCGAAAACTGGTGGCCATATCGAATTTTAAATAAAACCTCAAGGTAAACATATATACTGATTTAATAATTTAATAAATACTAATTTATATATATATATATATATATATATATATATATATATATATATATATATGTGTGTGTGTGTGTGTGTGTGTGTGTGTGTGTGGAAATATGGGAAAAGGTGGAACCCGACTAAAGAGAAATTTAATTACACAAAATTAAATTGAACAAGAGGTGATGAAAATAACACGTTATAGCATTCCACATTTCCCTCCTCATTTTCTTTATTGAGTGTGTCTTCATTCGTATTCCCAATTGCCAACGAGTACCTTTGAAAAAGTGTTGGCCGAAAGGTACCTTAGGTATGGCGTCCATGTTGTTTAAATGGTTTAAAGTTTCAAATTAAATAACGATCCTTCGTTAATTAATTTGAAACTTTTAAAACCATTTATTTCACATTCAACATCGTCACTTGATAAGACACCTGGGGTGTTGAAACAAAATGGCTATTTTTGTGGTGATTTTATAACATATTTATGTTATAATTTTTTTTTATATCTGCTGTACTTTGTATTGAGCACTCTTTTAAGAATAGTAATTGTTGGTTATTGGAATTCATTGCGTATACACCAATTATATACTTGTATATATATATATATATATATATATATATATATATATATATATATATATATGTATATATAGATAACTAGACTCGTTTCGAAAAAACCCTTGAATTTTTGATTTGCTAATCAAATCAATCTCGAGGAAAAAAGGTTTAAAAAAAAAACCGCTACAAACATGAACTTCTGTCGAGAAAAAAATCGCACCGATGCAGGTCTGAAGCCCAAAGAAAAAACCCTGATACGAGTAAACAACTAACTAACAAAGCGCTCAATAC